CAGTTATAATTATTATATATTAATACACAATTTTTCAAATATAATATAATTTTATTATTAGCTGTTAGAATCATTTAATGTAATATACTAATGAATCTGAAGGTCATCCAATCAGTTTCTTAGAATTAATTGTAATTTTAATCAAAATTAAAAATAAAATTTATTTTAAATAAATTAAATTATATAAAAATTAAAAATATATACTTGGAAAAAAAGACACATACATTTAATTTTTCTTTTCAAAATTACTCTTTAACTAAATCAAAAACTACAATTTTGTCTTTTTACAAAAATTAACCTCTCCTCATTTCTTCCTCATTTTTGCAAGTGCAACTTCCCACCTAGTGCCGCCTCCGGCAGCTGGTTTTCCGATTTCCAGCGCCGCATGAGCAATCTTACGGAACACCGTCTATCCTTCGCACACGATCTTAATCGTCCATCTTGCGCGATCTCGTCGCCGATCGTGCACGATTGTCGTTGTCTCTCGCTTCTCTGGCACAGTCTCGTCGTTGCTCGGGCCGTCCGTCAGCTTTGCTGGTCTCAACGCCATTGAACCGGTCGTCTTATAACTTGCTCAGCTCTTCTCTCTCTTTAGGTATATATATATATATTGTATAATACATATAAAAATTAGTATGTTATATATATATCATTGTGATTTTTGTTTATATTTATTATGTTTATATATTATATATTTAATTAATTTTATATTATTTCAGTGTTCCTAAATTATTTTAATCATAAATATTAATTTATGGATTAATTTATTTTTTGGCAATATAAAATATTAATAATTATTTTATTAATATGACTTTTTTGATAATATTTTTTTACAGTTATATTACGAGTAAAGCTGCACTTAAGTTAGCCAGGCGTGTATAATTGTTTTGGTGGAAACACCATCATCCAGCACTTATGGCGGTTTAATGGATTACGTGTATAAGATAACATCATATATCAGTCATTATTTTAACTTTTTAAAAAACTGGTTAGTCGTAGTGGCGCATCAACCAAATGTTTTCTTCTGTGCAACTGTGAACACTTTTTTCTTGGTCCCTGTTTGTCTTCTGAATAGTAGTTTCTTTCTGCATATAGAAAAAGGTTATTATTGAAAAAGTTAGTTTTAAAGACTTGAAATGATTTTTTTGTATTTCTTTTCTTTTAGAAAAGCTTGAATTTTTCTTTGCTAAAACCACATTGCTTGTGTATGTTTTCACAAAAATTTACATGTTTCTGTTTCGTTATATTAAAGATTAGCCTTCATAATACGTTCAAAGGAAACTATTCAAGATCTACAATGTCATTTAATTGCTTGTTTTTTATGCTTCTCACATTTGCATTAGTGGAAGCTCTTTAAAATTCTTTGATAACTTTTTCTAATCTTTTAGGGGCTAATTTTGTTCTTTTGGTACTGGAGGACCTATTTATTTGGATAGTATTCTTCTTTGGTATATGGGTCTGGATTTAACAAGTTTCTTGGGCAGGCTATGAATTTTGTCAAGGAGAGCTGTGCTGTTTTGTTGGATAAAATGTTTGGCATATCCGCTAATGTTATCAGGACAAAGAAAACATCTTCCGAGAACAGGTACCGTGAGGTTAATTTTTTGCTTTTGAATTTGTGATCATGTGTAAAGCATAAAGCTATCAGGATAGTTTATTGCCGATTGGTTGGTTGGCTAGTTATTCCCTGGTCAAAATTGCATCTATTACCTGATATTGACCTTGGATAATGTTCAGAAATATGCAAATATTAGCTTCTACATTATATAGTCTACTTCTTGCTTGAGAAGGGCCTGCTTCTTTTGTTGGGATTATGTTCTTTTGTGGTTCAGTTCAGAGAAACATGTAGGCGTATCAATTGGTTTCTCTCTCTCTCAGACACAAAAATAAGTACACATGAATTCTGGAAACCACATGAATGTCAAAGTACAACTTCTGTCTAATTTCTTACCAGAGAACTATGTTTAATTACCTTTTTCCCCCCCAGAATTTAGGGTGCCTTTGGTTCTTGAAAACGTGAACTATTTGGTTTCCATTTTCTAAAAAATGAAAAAGTACCAAAAACGTGCAGTATATGAAAATAAATATAACTTTTAGAAATAAATAAAAAAAAAAAGATTTTGAAAATAATAAAAACTTGTTTCCAATGTTTTGTAGAAAACTATTATCTTTAAGACTTATACTTAATATGTCCTTGTGCATGCAGAAAATATATACTTATATATATCTGATCGAAACTATATACTTATATGTGTATAGGCATGTATATATACCTTGTTTCGTAGTTAGACAAATACATATGCAATCATAGACAAATATGAGCCTCTACAAATTTACGCAAACATATACATACATGTAACATGAAAACACACACACACACATATATATATATCAACAGACCTACATATGTATACTTGCATATGTATATAATGTGTGTGTAGTTACACACACAAACATACATACAAATATATCTAAGTACACACATATATATATACCTGTGTATTTGTATAGTAAATAATAATCACCTAATTTTTTCATACACCATATGCAGCCTAATAATCAAAGATGTCTTTATGTCTTGTTCAATTATTTCTGGAAGCTTCCATGTCCTTGTGGCAAGTGCCATTAGCTGTTTGTCATTTGCTGCTAAAGAAGTGCCATTAGTTTTTGAGTTGGTCATAAGGGCTTATGTTGAGATTTACAATTGGTTCTATTCCATTGCTTTTAATACTTATTGACCATGTGGTATATGCCCCATGGACAGTAGTTCACTGGAAGATGCGCTTTTTTCTGCGAATATTGATGTCGAGGAAGGTTATACTCACCATGTAAGTAACTTTCTAATATTACTTTTTTCTCTGGAATTTAGGTAATTTGTCATTTAAATTATTTAAGTCATTAGAAGCATAAACATAATCTATTTAGTTTTTGGGTATGGCGGGCAAAAGAACCAAGCTGAGCCAAATACCTGAACATTTGAGGTTGGCTAGTTTGAATATGGTCAAGCTTGAGTTCAGGTGAAAGCTTAAAATAGATTTAATATTGGCTAAACTTCAACTTATTTAAAGAAATACAAAGGTTAAACCCAGTTAGAAAAAATCTTGATAAAATGTAGAGCCTCATTGTATTTGAAGTTGAGAGCACCTATTTGCCTGTAAATGAGTCAATGCAAATGATGGAAGAAAATGTACCTATCTCTCTAGTAGCTATACAATGTAAAACGTGGTCTACTAGATATTGCCATTTTTTTCGTAAGACATGGTTCAAAGGGACAACAGGTAGCTGTTCTGCCTGATCAAATCATGAAAAGGCAAGCACTCAACAACTCTAGACAGGATGGTCTCTATTTGGAAGCTACCATCATGTCATAATCAAATTCAAATTGGTTTCTATCCTGAGCAGATATCATGTTCTTCTGATACATCTTGTAAAGTAGTACAATCCTATCAATAACATCTTACTGAATTGCCTCTTTTGTCTTTCATAAAATTGTGCAATAGATCTCATATCACATGCTCATTTTATTAGCAACTGAGGTTGACAATCTTTAATCAGATGACTCTTCTGTTTACTTCATTACTCATTTGTTTTCTGGATGTCAGTAAATTGATTTATCTCTCTGTCAAAAGGGAAATACTCAGAGCTGGTGGAATACATTGACATTCAAATCTATTGGTTCTGCTATGCAACATGGCGTGACAAAGCAGCTTGATTTTGAAGATTTGCTTTCCTTACCCACTGAAATGGATCCTTCTTCTTGTCATGATAGACTGTTAAGCTCCTGGGAAGCTCAGCAGAGTGATTTCTGTAAAAGTCCATCTTTTCTCAAGGCAATTTTTCATGCATATGGGTGGCCATACTTTTGTCTTGGTATATTAAAGGTAATATATATATTCTTTCTAAATTTTCATTGGGCCTTTTTCTTCAATTCTACATAGGTCAGGGAAAAAGTTTTATTTTTGAGTGTAAGTAAAGGCTGAAGCTCTTCAAAGGAATTGGATCTGAGTTCCTCCAGTGGAGGGAAAGGACATGACATGGGATGAAGCCCTTGGCCAACAACTAAAGCTTGTTTTTTATATATAGATACACACACTTTTCCTCCCATTTCTTGTTATTTCATCTATTTGTTAAGGAAAGACAATATTTATAATGTTATCCATCCATTGTAATGTGGCACTGCAGTATGATCTATCAGTGTAATATGCATACATACATACATACATATCACACATACACAGTTCATAATCTTTCTAGTTATTTGTGTCTATTTCTTTATTTTTAATCTTTTTACTCTTCTTTTTAAGTGGCAATGATCTTGAGGTCTTAGTGTTGAGCCCTGGGTGGAGTAACCAATGAGGGCTCTTGTAGTGTTCATGGCAACTGGATGGACACTCTAACTGTGCCATGTATGGCTCTAAAGAATAGGTGCCGTCCCTTCTTTTTCAATAAGCTTTGAGCTTGTTCCCTTGCCCAGGTTTGCCTTGGGTAGGTTGGAGAAATCCATGTCCATCTTTCCTGTCTATATGCATAATGAGATTTTTAGTGGAAAAAAAATTTGGACAATTTCTAGGGAACGGTTTTATGTCTACAATCAAGCAGCGGGTTCATGGGGTTGGTATCTGGTTGTGTACCCATGGGAAGCACAGAGACTAAGGCAGTCACATCAAGTTCTACCTAACTTTCCTTTTTGGGATATATGCTTATTTGAAGCTTTCACCTTAAAAACCCCATTCAAGATCTCTAATATTGGAATATCAAATGTCCCACCACCAAGATCAAACACAGCTATTAGACCTTCCTTCAATGCCCTCAGTTCTTCTAAGTTCATTAACTAGAAGACAACTTTAATAGTATTAAGGATTCTTGGTTTCAGGCCCTGATTATTTTGATTAAGGGCCAACTTTTGTATTTAAGTGATGATTTGGGGGACCTTATTGATGCTTTGTTAAACTTGTAAAATCTTTGTTATGGGTTGCACCCCCTTGGTGCTTTGTGAATAATAATACATTTTTTATTCAAAATTTTTTACGATATATGCTTAATTTGGATGTACTACTAGAATTTATCTGTCCACTTAAGTCTTCAATTTTTACTAAATTTGTTTTAGTTCCTATCTTTCCTGATCCATGAATTTATAAATAAAGGGCAAATAACTCTCTATCTTCTTTAATCAATGGATAAAGCATATGAATATTTCATAAAAATTAGAATACTCTCTAGAGACTGTAGGGTTCTCTCTATTGAGTCCTACACATAGGTCATAAAGGTCTGAGCAAGTTGTGACATTGCTGCAGACTTCATTTTGCATAAACTTGTGACTTATCCTGAACCCAGTACCCTCTGAACATGGTTTCAGAGCAGGACTTTATTGAGCATTTGTAGAATTTCAGTAACAATTTGAAGTTTGCCTCAAAGCTTATCAGGAGGATCATGAGTAGGTTGAAGAAAGAGAAAAGGAGCTTGCTGCACAACTTTAGGATATTTGTTCGGAGCTATTCACTACCAAGTTAGGTAGAGCAATAGCTGTCAAATCAAGTAGCATTGGTTGTTGCAATGAGCACTCTTTGGGATTCAATGAGGACTTTGAATGGGGAGGGACAGTTCCTCGATATGCCAAACTGGACTTGCCTTAGACTGGCTGAACCATCATGGACACATTTTTTTTTTGCCATCAGCACATAATAGACAAAGATAAATTCGGGTTGTTTCTTTTCACTTAGAAGGAATTCCATAAGTATGGTTCCTAAAGCTGGAACAGGAAAAACAAAAAATTTTGTAGAAGAGATCAAAGTCAATTATGGCTTTTGCTTTGGCTCCCAATCGAAACAATAAACTGCAAAAACTTGTCAAGCTTTGCTAGCTGGCTCAGATTGAGGATTACCAGTGCAGCTTTGAGTAATTGACGGTTTGAACATCATCTCTCACAACCACACAACCAAAGAGGAAGGCGGCATTTTCCTTAGCGGCCTACAAGAATATATAGTTGTTGAGGTAGAACTTCAACACCCATGGACCTCACCACCATGAAGTGTCTAATGCAGAACAAGTAATGGTTACATTAACTTGTCCTGTGACAAAAATAGAGAAAAGTTTGGGGGAAAACAGAAGGAAAATAAATAATCCGACATGGGAAATCAAGGTGAAGAAATATTAGGGTGGGTTAGATCGATCGTGTTATGTTAGATATAATAATAACCAAAAGAACAAACACAACAAAGATAACATAGAATCAAACTCTTGCAAAACAATTCTTAATAATCGCAACATAGACCTGCTTGTGTTGTGACCTCTGTTTGAAGATTTATTTGAATGCATTTTCCCTCCCATCACTGCAGGGCTTGGTGTCGCTTGTGGGTTGGGGCTAAGTACTTCGAGATTGTCATAACCATGTGTTCTTATGACCTTATGAGCAATCAATTATATGACAAGTAGATCAGTAACAAAAATAAGAATTGTCAATGAAGAGAATCAAGACTTTAATTTTTTAACCTTATATCTTCGTACCGGATATATAATTTTATTTTCCTACAGGTGTTTAATGACTGCATTGGCTTTTGTGGACCGTTGCTTCTCAATAAACTCATTAGATTTCTCGAACAAGGTTTGTAGTATTTATGTGTTTTCAGCTGTAACTTTTCAGATGCTGAAATTGCATTTATGATTTTTATTTAAGCTCAATTGGTTATTTATCTGGTCATTGTCTGAGATATATATTTTTTATCGAATCAATATTCTTATTTGTGTCAGTTTGTTTTGTTTCCATTACAGAAGATCTTATGTTACAAAATAGAAGAAAATAAACTGTGAGCAACTGCCTTTTAGCCTTTTTCAGAGCCTGGAAACCTTGGAAAGTTGATTATAAGGAATATTGTGG